CTCTCTCTCTCTCTCTCTCTCTCTCTCTCTCTCTCAAATAAATAAAAATTTTTAAAAAAGCCTAGGATGAGCTCAGGTATTTAATTTCCTGGCCAAGTACTTAATGAGTTACCCTGAAGGAGATACTTAGCCCTTATAACCCCAGAGCTGAGATTGCTAGTATTAAATACATAATCTCCTCTGAGCAGCTGATTACAGTGTAAATTAAACCACCAGCCTCATATAGTATCTGTTGTTAAAGTGAGGGCATTTGATGGGAAGAAACTGGATGCTGAAAGTTGAAATTGGAGCGTATAGAAAAACGATGAGGAACCCGGGGACACTGAGCCCCCAAATTTTGTTGAGTCTTCTTCACCAATGGGAACAGTCTCTCAGATCCTTAATGGGAATTGTTTCATTACCCCTTGTATGGGGGTAGTAACTCTGAATTGCTTGAGAGAATTCTAATGCTTCCCTGAGTCAGTGGCTTTGGAAATCAGTGCAGATTCACTTCAGGACCAAACCCCAGGACTTCCCTTTGCTTCTAGACTTATAACAAGATTCAAGCCTTGGGCCGGCGAAATAGCTCCACTGTCTAAAGCACCTTCTAAGACAAGTGCAGAGACCTCAGTTGATCCCCAGCACCACAAGCCATGCCAGTCTTGCCCTCAAGGCTGGCTGAGCCAGAAAAAGAAAGAAAGAAAGAAAGAAAGAAAGAAAGAAAGAAAGAAAGAAAGAAAGAAAGAAAGAAAGAAAGAAAATATCACCTATAGTCTGTCGCCATTGCTGCAAAGCCAAGAGGGAGGGAAGATGGTTTACATGTCAAATGGACAAGGATTGGACAGTCAGAGTCGGTCCTCGTGGAGACTATCATTAACAACAGATTTCTTCTGGGGAATAACTGAGTTTGTAATTTTGTTTTTCAAAACTCTGCTTCAGCAAGATGTGAAAAAAGGAAGAGGCTATAGAAACTCATTTGGCTCCATATATGATGATGGAAGAAGGCCACCAGGAAACCCTCCCCAAAGAATGGGTAGAATCAAACACCTTCATGGTCCCAGTCCTCCACCAATGGGATGAGGAAGGTGAATGTCTGCTCTTAAGAAGCAGACAACTGGATATACACATTCATAGGAGAAGGAAGTCAACCGGAAGTGGAGGTCAGACTGTGCTGGATGAGTAGATGGATGTATATGTCTCCCCAGGGATTGCTCTGTGCTCTCACACATAAATGAGGTCACGCCAGGAATTCTCTCTACAGGGACCTGACTTGACTGATGCTCAGTCTATAAATACATATGTGTGTTTCATTGTCTTTTTGTCTAGTTTATAAAGTATTAATATATTTTTCATAAATTAGGTTGCCTATTGACCTTTCATCTTTATATAATTAAATAACAGAAACTCAACTCTGAACCTCAAGAAAATAAATAAAAGGCTGTGTACTTAGTAAAAAAAAAAGTATCACCTATAATGAAGTATATCATACACTAAAAGAACTATATTACTTTGCCAATATTCACAGATGGAAAACTGAGGAACCACTGGATGTATATGTCTCCCCAGGGATTGCTCTGTGCTCTCACACACAAATGTGGGATATGTGTGATATCCCCCTAGATATGTGGGATAGTAGCATCAGGAATATGAAATTGGATCAGTCTCTAGTTATTGATTACTCATTAAGCAGAGAATCTGCTTTTAGTGAGGCAGATTTGGAGCTTCAAAGTATTTTTACAACTTGATTCAATGGTTGGCAAAATCATGGATCAAGAGGTAGACCATAATATATTAGCCAGAAATACCATATTTGCCTTTGTTTATTGTAGAAGAGATTCAGAAGGGGGAAAGGTAGAGGAAGAAGGGAGGGAGAGAGGGAGAGAGAGAGATGGAGACAGAGACAGAGAGATTCAATAGCTTAGATCAATTGGAATTTTACAGTGGATTTGTCATTTGAGACCTTCCTGCCCAGTCTCAAAAGGTCCTTAATACCTAGTCTCAATATCCCTGAAGAGCACAACTGTCACTCTTCTCGATAGAGCAGACCACACGGGGGCCCTGGAATCATTGTGCTGGGGGACGTGAATGCAGTAGGAGCAACTGGTCCCCAGGGTAACAGATGCCACATGGCTGCAGCAAACTACATGAGCTAATAATCATGTGAATCAATTCCTTAAACAAATGTATTATAGATAGATACAGATCTCTTGTTTTTTTTTTTTACTGTCAAAACGTTTATTGCAAAATGGAGTCTTAGAACAAAAGAAAGCAAAGAAAAGTTCACATCAAAATGAAATGTATGACACCAACTTGGATTTCTGAATACATTGTGGACTCTGTGCTGGAATATCAAATTCCAATATGCAGTCAGTAACTGAGTAGTCTTACCACACAAGAGTAAAATTTAATCTTTCATACAAACATTATACATGATACTTGGCATAGGACTTGCTCAGAATAACATTGCAATAGAATAACTGAGAGAAAGTTTCTGCTTAAAAAAAAATAAAGTGATAATGCCATCTACTTGAAGCTCACACCCAAGGAATACAAAAATTATTTAACACAAAATTTTAAAAGTGCAAAAGTAGTATGTGCAGTGTATTATCTGATATTAAAAACACACACTGTTCTGCATACAATATAAAAGAATTAATGGAGGTGCCTGAAGTCATAGTTCTGAAGTAAATAACCACATGCCAGAAAGCTCCTCAAAAGCAGCAGAGCGCATATGAAGTCAGTCTCAGAAAACATGGCCATTCCCTAGTTTCCCGACAAACACGCATTTTTCACCATAGAAATGCTACATCTAATGCTATTAGGCTCTGCTAGATTAAAACAGATCAGAGTCTGTCTGGCAATGCTTAAAATCTCAAGGAAAACAGTCTTGCTCAAATGCGTCAAAAGGTGCCTGATTATAGAAAGCTTATGCTCTATCATATATGTGGTATGGTGAGACGACTAGTCTTACACAAGGCTGCAACAAGTTTAGTGTAACGAAATTTTTTAAAAAAGAGTATCAATATTTAAATAAGACCAAGTTTTAAAGCTGTGCTTTTGTAACACTCTTACCACTCGAATGGAAAATTAAAGTTATATACACAGTAGTACCTTACTAAGAGAAGTCAGTTTGGATCTCTCTTGCATCCTCACCCAACCCCCTAATTTGTTTCATTTTGATGTGGATCAAGTTTAGGTACCTGAGCTGGTGTTAAGGTCTAATAAATCCACTGCATGTTTAAAAGACTCAAGGGCTAAAAGCCCAGACCTCAGTATTTCCAGAACATCAAAAATTGTGTGCTCCGTGCCTACATCTGCCTCACCATGGTTCTTTATATAAAGTGTTAAAATGTGGCTTTAGGAGTGAATTGATCCGGGAGTTGAAGAGGGCTCCAAAGGTGGGAAGTAAAGTCTGTGTCTCTGTGGCCGGTCAGTGTGTGTTTTGTGTCCATTCTTCTGTCATACAAAAAAAGAAGAAATATTGCAGTGAATGAGGATTCCTCTGCATTTTAGAACTGCTTTTTCTACTGTAGTTGGCTTTTGAATGAGGATGACAATGGAAGAGACGAAAATGAAGCTGAGACCACTTCCATGGTTTCTATGCCCCTCTACGCAGTCATGTATCCTGTGTTTAATGAGTTAGAACGAGTAAATCTGTCTGCAGCTCAAACACTGAGAGCTGCTTTCATTAAGGCTGAAAAAGAAAATCCAGGTCTCACACAAGACATCATTATGAAAATTTTAGAGAAAAAAAGTGTAGAAGTGAACTTCACCGAGTCCCTTCTTCGAATGGCAGCTGACGACGTAGAAGAGTATATGATTGAACGACCAGAGCCAGAATTCCAGGACCTGAATGAAAAGGCACGAGCACTTAAACAAATTCTCAGTAAGATCCCAGATGAGATCAATGACAGAGTAAGGTTTCTGCAGACAATCAAGGATATAGCTAGTGCAATAAAAGAACTTCTTGATACAGTGAATAATGTCTTCAAGAAATACCAGTACCAGAACCGCAGGGCACTTGAACACCAAAAGAAAGAATTTGTAAAGTACTCCAAAAGTTTCAGTGATACTCTGAAAACATATTTTAAAGATGGCAAGGCAATAAATGTGTTCATAAGCGCCAACCGACTAATTCATCAAACCAACTTGATACTTCAGACCTTCAAAACTGTGGCCTGAAAGTTGTATATGTCAAGAGATGTACTTCTCAGTGGCAGTATTCAACTGCCTTTATCCGTAAATTTTAAAGTTTGACTGTATAAATTATCAGTCCCTCCTGAAGGCACCTAATCCAGGATGTTGAATGGGATTATTGCCATTTTACACCATATTTTTGTAAAATATAGCTTAATCATAATCTCACACTGAAGATTTTGCATCACTTTTGCTATTATCATTCTTTTAAGAATTATAAGCCAAAAGAATTTACGCCTTAATGTGTCATTATATAACATTCCTTAAAAGAATTGTAAATATTGGAGTGCCTCCCCCACCCCGCCCGCCGAGTACAATTTTCTGCCGTGTTCCGGGAGCCCCCAGACCCAGTCCTAGCCCAGGTCCG